GGAACGCCGAGGACAATCATGTGGGTGGAGGAAGAAACAAGAGTCTTGGCCGAGTGTCAGATTCAGGAGTCTGGAGTTTGTTGTCTTCATTATTCAATTTCTTCCACACATTAGACTAATTGATGTTTCATCTATTCATGAAATCGGGCCCACGAACTCTTACACACGTCGTCAACAAATATTCCGTCAGGGGAAATACCGCCACACTGGAGTGCTACTCCGTCCTACACCATAGATGAGCCACCATGACCTCCTTGCCCAGGTAAAATGGCTTGCTTGTTCGAACTGCACCTATGCTCATCCATTCGACGTGTCGTTCACTGTACATCCAGCAGACAATTTCACCGTCAAGCATGACTGACACCCGACCCGCCAGGTCCGGCTCCGACCATGATTGGTTCCTTTGGATGGTTTTCGGCGGCGTGGTCCACCCCCGCGGCCACACCCGGCGCCGAAGCCCTGTACCCGGATTCGGAGGGGCCGTCTGGCGTCTTTGCGAGACCGTACCACGCCACAGTCAAAACGCCGAGGATGCCGGTGATACAGCTGAAGACGAGGGCGACAATTCCTCTCGAGGTGAAGCTGATTTTTCGCGTCCCGTCAGTATCTGCAATATTTTTACAGCTTTGAAGTGTCACGATGACTTACCCATCCGGAAGACGCGATGGCGGTGTGTTTTGTCCGCTCAAGTCCAGGTAGTCCTTGGTGTTAGCCGCAGCGTTGCCGGTTGTTGGGACGCTGCCTGCTGTGCAGACGTCCAGGTGGTTCTGAGGGATTGTGAGGTTCTTTTGGAGATCTAGCGGTGCTTCAACAAAGGTTGCCATGAGACCGGAGGTTACGTGCCACTCGATGTGGCAATGGAATAGCCAGACACCTGTAGTTTACGACTGTTAGAGAACGTGATGGTTCTATCAAAAGTAGGAAACATTCAGATGTTGAACTGTGTACACCAACTCACCAGGGTTGTTTGCTCTGAACCGCAAAACGATGTTTCCATTCGGCCAAACGACGAGGGTATCGCGACGCATCGGCGTAGCAGGGAAATCCGCCTCCGTAACATTGGCATCGGCGAACGTGCCACCGTCTTCGGCGGCGCGGTACAGCGCCTGGAAATCGTGGCCGTGCAAGTGGAAGGGGTGACGGCCTGGATCGAGGTTGTTGACAACGATCTGGACGACTTCGTTGCGCTCGAGCACAAATGGGTGGGTATATGTGCCGTATACCTCTGCGTTTGTCGCCGCGTCACCAGCAGAGAGGACGGTGTAGAGAGTAGGCACCTTGGGAGCCTTGTAGGTGATATTGTTGAAGAAGGCATAGTTTGCGCCGTCGCCGAGGTTGTCCATGATGACATCGAGCTCGACGGTCTGGGAGGGTTCTGGGAGCAGGGGTTGCTTGTCGTAGGGGACGAGGGTCATGTCATCAAAGGGGGTGAAGGTGTCGAGCATCGCTGCAGGGTCTGTAGGTTTCGAGTCGTCGTAGACGAGCCAGCCGGTTACGTTATAGTTGAGGTCATCCGGGAGGGTATCGAAGAGGGACTATTCAGTGAGCTTTGCGTGCGAGAGATGCGGTTTGGAGCCAAGTGGCAACTTACAGTATCCATGCTTCCCACAATCGCAAAGTTAGACGAGGTGTCGTTTCGAGTCGTTACGAGAAAGCTGTACCGCTGAGCAGCAGAGATATAAATCATGCTCGCCTCCGCGGGCTCCGTGTAGACGCCGTCGACTTCAACAATGGACATGTTGTGACCCTCGATCCAGACATACTGCCCAGCAAAAGCGGCCACATTGACCAGTCTAAAGAGATACCTCTTACCAGGTTGCACCGGGACTTTGAGGTTCTGCGTGTCGTTCATGAGAGCGGCTTGCGGGACGGGCTCTGCGCCTGTTGGGTTGCCCTTACTCATGAAAGGAGGAATAAGATCGGCCATCTGGTCATGGTACCAGTCGGACAGAGATACAACGACTTCTTCATCGTATTGGCCCTTGAAGGGCGAGCTTGGGTCGTGGATGACGAAAACTTGTCGCAGGCCATCGGGATATTGCGACTGAGTATGGGAGTGGTACCAGTATGTTCCGGGCTGGTTGATCTACGCCCGACTGTCAGAAAGTCTCCCCCATTGCCTTCTCAAAGACCACTGCTTACGGTGAAGTTGTAAGTGAAAGACGACCCTGGCTGAATGGCGCACTGGCTGACTTGCGCCGGTCCGTCCATGTGGGTTGTGCCGTTCATGTAGAGGCCGTGAAAATGAAGGGAGGTCGACTGGTTCCCCAGCTGGTTATGGGCATTGATGATAATGTTGTCTCCGACATTGGCATCGATGCGAGGAATCGGCCATTGGCCGTTGATACCAATTGTCGGACGGTTGAAGGCACCGTCTGGGTTTGCCGTCACCCAGCCAATGTTGAAGTCATACGTGACTGTGGCAGCGTAGGCCGTCTGCGCGATGGCGGAGAGGAGGGCCAAAAGGCCTACTTTACCTGCCATGTTTACGTCTTTCTTCTTCTGCTTCTCTGCTTCGGTCTTTGCTGTCCTGTAGAGCGCAGGGGATAATAGAATTCGCCAGGAGCAAGGCGGCGGAGAATGACAAGTCTCGCAGTGACACGAGCGGCTTCTTGTGTATCCCTTCAATCAATTTGATCCGGGGACAGACCGGAGGCAAGAAGAATTCGCATCGTTCGAAAGAAAGGGAAACGGGCCCTCTACAAAGCTTCCGTTCGATTTGGGTCAGGTCTGCCTGCCTGTCTGTCTGGCTCTCCTCTCAACTCGCTTCAAGGAAATGGCAACTTCTGGCGAGGAGGCCCAATGCTTGCCACCCTGGCTGGGGTGACCCTTCCAGTTTCCACCCCCTCCTCCCCTTGTCGCTCTTTTTCGTGGCTTTGACACTTTGCCCAAGACATCTTATCAATCTGATCTTCCACTGGTCCCGACACCCTTCGTTCCAGCTCCTTGGCCGGAGGGGGCGGCCGGGCACACGCTATCGCCTTAGCGCGCCATCATCTTATCAGATGTTACTCGGAAGACCACTGAGTTTTCTACACTAACACAAGCCACTCAGACCCAAAGACCTCAGGCGTCGATTGAAGGCGCGAGACGATGAGTTGTAGTAGCGAGAGGAAACGACTGGCTCGCACGGAACTCGGCATCATTTGTCCATCACCTTGCTATTCCACCTTGCAGAAAGAAATGGGTGGGGAGGGGATCTTTTTCACCTGCAAAGGAGATCAACTAACCAGGGGCCCCTACAGCCGAGAAAAAGCTTGTCTCCCCGCGCTAAGGCGAAGTTGGGTCTCGCCTGGCCTCGCTTCCGCCAGAAGGTGTCCCCGATGTGGGCGAGGTGGGCAAAGATGGCCTGTCAAAGAAGAGTCCATGACTCCATGAGAACTCGAGAAAGAGGGTCTGTCTCTCGACTGATTTACCTCGTCCCATTCCGTTGGTTTCTGTCGGTGCGGAAAGTGTGGAAATTGCTTGTTGGACTTGCCGGGATTCTCGAGCGAGCTGAACAGCGAGATCTGTCATGGAAACTCAGGATGAACCGATACACGAAAATGCTGAAGGGGGTCTTCGAGAACAAAAGACCAGGTGCGGAGTTACGGAGTGTATAAAATCCTGATCGCTGAGGGTCCATTCAGGGTCGTTCAACTTATCATGGTTGCTAACCCTTGGCAAGAAGTGACAGGATTGACAAGATACCTTCAAGTTAATTTGTCCCATGTGCCCATTCAAATTTCATGAAAGCTGGTTCCAAATCTCTCAGCCCATCAGACTTTTTTGGCGGCGATCGCAATGCTATTGATGGAACTCCGCCATCGCTGTCGAGGCAAACTAGTTCCAAGCTGTAAGTTGCTAGTAGTATTGTCACGAGTAATGAGTCCGGCCACGGGAACCAGGTGGCTTGATGGTCACCCAGCAATGGCAGTCTAGCACTTCTTTGAATCCATCTCTAGCTTGCCGCCGGCATCCCACATCAAAACACCTCCAGCATCTGCCACATTGCTTGTTTGGCGTAGCACCAGTCAACGGCGTTGTGCGTTGCCGACATATGGCTGAAGATCGACAATTGGGCGTCTCAGCAACAGTCCATTCCGTTGTCCTTGTTGTCAAAGATAGAAATAATGCTGGGCTAGAGGCAAGTCAATCTGTGTCATCCCATGTCGATCGCCAGAATCACGGGCCTTTCCTCTACACATCGACCATCAGATCAGAACAACTCGCCCACCAACATTTCCCGCCCGTCAGACTCTCAAGGATCGAGCAATATTGCGAGCGAATAAGTGCCTCAAGTATCCTTGTCCGTTTGAGGCCCCCTCTCCATTAGTCCGCGCTAAGCAACGCGGGCCAGTCCCAGGGATACAGCTCTCTCCCCATGCATGCTTTATCCCCAACACCGTAACACAAAACGAGAGACAGGAAGCTCCCCTTCCAAAATGTACTAAAACCGACTAGAAAAGCTTGTCGTGAAGGAGAATGGTCAGGTCTGCATGCAATAATGAGACCTCGGCGTTGGTCTAATTGGCCCTAAGCCTGGAACCGGGTTTTGGAGCTTGCACCACCTTCGTCCTACGTCCCCTCCTCTTGCCTTCGCCCTCGCCCTCGCCTCAACCTTCCCTCGGACTACAGTCGGTCCAGAGTAGATGCTCCGCCCTTTGGTAAATCCGTGATTGATTGATTGATTGATTGATTGATTGCTACCGTAGGAGAAAAGGTCGGCTGATTATCAAGATATGCCTGTCCTCTCTTATTTGCCCTGGGCAAACATGGGCTAGGCGTTCCGCCTTTCGGCTCGTCGTATCCGTTGCCACAAGACCAACCAGTACCGGCACCCTCATCGGCTAGTCCCAGCGATTATCTGATTTGATTTTATCAGATTAATCTGTGCTTGTGTTGCCCGTCTCCCCTCTCCACGCTTGTCAGACAAAAGTCTGTTTTCCTCTTCTTCCTTCTCCGTTGCGCGGAATCTGTGACCAAGACAACGACAAACGCTCTTCTCACAGGTGCCAAAAATGACCGTCAACGTGTTCTCCGTACCAGTATTTCTGGTCGTCTTTCGAGAGTCTCTGGAAACCGTCATCATCGTGTCGGTTTTGCTGGCTTTCCTCAAGCAGACGCTCGATGGGCCCAACAGAGATGTAGCCGTGTACAAGGCCTTGCGCAGACAGGTAAGGATAATCGATACGCTCGTGAACCGAGACCCATTGCTGATGCGTTTTTCCAATAGGTATGGCTTGGTACAGGTATCGGTTTCTTGATATGCCTGGTCGCCGCAGCCGTCGTCATCGCCGTCTTCTACAAGGTCGGCCGAAACAGTTGGGAGGCCCACGAGCTCTACTACGAAGGTGCCTTTTCTCTACTCGCCGCCGTCATCATCACGATCATGGGTGCTGCTCTACTTCGCATTGGTAAGATGCAGGAGAAGTGGCGCGTCAAGTTGGCAAAGGCAATGGAGTCTCCCGTCAAGACCGGTGCGAGCCGGGGGTGGTTCAAGCGCTTCGCCGAAAAGTACGCCATGTTTATCCTGCCCTTCATCACCGTGCTCCGTGAAGGCATCGAGGCAATCGTCTTCGTCGCTGGCGTCTCCTTCTCTGCGCCTGCGTCTGCTGTGCCACTCCCCGCCATTGTCGGGTTGATTGTAGGTGCCTTTGTCGGCTACCTTCTTTACAAGTAAGTTGCGATGCTCTTCACGATTTTCGACTGCATACTGACTTTAGCGAAGGGGAGGGTCCACAGCCAAGCTGCAAGTATTCCTTGTCATTTCTACGTGCCTCTTGTATCTCGTCGCCGCTGGACTCTTCTCCAGGGCAGTGGGTGATTTCGAGCAGCAAGAATGGAACAAGGTTGTCGGCGGTGACGCCGCAGAACTTGGAAATGGACCTGGTTCCTATGACATTGACAAGAGCGTGTGGCACGTAAACGTAGGTCTCCCTTTGCCCCTTGACTGACGTCCCAATACTGACCTCTCGAAAGTGCTGCAGCCCAGAGCTCAACGGCGGCGGCGGATGGGGTATCTTCAACGCCGTACTCGGATGGACAAACTCAGCAACGTACGGCTCCGTCATCTCATACAATGTCTACTGGATCTTCGTCATCGGATGCTTCCTCCTCATGAGATTCCACGAGACCAAGGGACACTGGCCTTTGATGAAAGCGAAGGCTCCTCGGGAAGTCGACAGGCGCCTCTCCGATGACCGTAGCGGAAGCGAGCAAGCGAGCACGTCTGAGAAGGATAAGGGGGCAGCGACCACGAAGACAGTGACTGCTTCGTCGTGATTGGGAGGCAATTGAGTTCGTTTTGAACCTTCGAAGCTATGGACGATCATGACTGAATAAGGATACCTATGCTGGTGGACAATGTAATGTGAAGACTGTCTGTATGATAACGAGGTCAGGAGGGGTGGTCGACCTTGCAGGATAAATTGAGGTTAAACATTAGTGTGTCAACCCAGTCGAGGCATTTACAAAAGCCTCTCCATGTGTTCGTTAAGAGTTGAAGAGTAGATGTGATCATCATCCCTCGAGGATACCAAAAAATACTTCTATTGAGAACCATGACTGGCGTTGTCAGGATCAATCCCAATGCTAAGACGAAGAGGGGAAACGTCTCTAGTCGAAACCAACCGATCTTACACCCTTCCCGGCTGCTGTAAGTATTATATTTCTATTCGATCAATACTCTGGTGTCCAATCCCATCTATTAGCCGTAAATAGTTTCCGCGCCATCTTATCAGCATACATGTTGCCCTCGTATCGGAGTCGTTGATCGCCTGACAAGCTCCTGGTGAACTCAAACTTCTTCTCTTCTCTGTCTAGTTTCGACTCGTCTTCTGCCGGGACCCATGTTGCCGTTACCCGGTTGTTCTTCCATTCGACCTGGGCAATAGACAAGACATTGGACGACATCATCGATCTGATGTACTCCACAATCGAGTCGAGACGTGCTCGAATACCGCAGTTGGTATGGTGCTTGTCAATCTGGTAGCTTGGCACTTGCTTCAGAATTGCCAGTATATCTTCGATATCAATGACCGAGGAGTCTGGTATGTTGTCGTAAGAACTTGGCCCAAAGTCAACGATACCAATCAGCTCCTTGGCCGTAAAGAACTTGAGCATCTGGCCCAGCTGGAACGAGTCACAAGCGGAGCTCGAGTCGTACCCAAGCTTACATTGTCTCTCACGAGACGAGTAGAGGGCGAGGAAATGGCGATGGACTGAAGCAATGGTATTCAAAACACACTCCCGCCGGAACTGTAGTTCCCCTGATTCCAAGTCAGCAAATATTATTTTTTTCGAACCAGGGCCAAAAAGCTCACTCTCTAAACCATCCGGTAGACTCCACCAAAGCTCAGTACGTGGATTCTCATCGAGAGACAATTCGCTCCATCGGACTGAACCACGGAGAATCAGCTCTCGCGTGTAGTTATGGAGTCTAGGCGGCTGCTCCAGCAGCCAAGCGACCAGGATCTTCTGCCTGAGTACATTCTCCGTGTCCAGGCTTTTCTTCTGAGTGCCAGCCCGCACCGGTTTGGCATTTGTCAAGGGCCACTTGAACTTGAGCTCAATGCTAAGGTATCTGGATACCAGGGAGCGGCAATCAAATCGATCGGCCAGAATGGATAAAGTAGTCACATGGAGCATGTTGACAGAGTTGGATTGTATCTGCTTCCCGTGCATGATCCTCATCAAGTCCTCGAAGACCTTTTCTCGGCCGACGGACCGGGTTGCCTCATCGTCATCGACGATTGTGATCCAGGGTAAGTCCCTAGCATCTACTTCCGCCAGCTTGAGCTTGTCCGCAGCCAGGCGAGCGAGGGTTTCCTCGACGTTACTCGCCTCGGCAAACTGTTTATTGCCTAGAAGATTCTCAAAGTAGCGAGAATGCCTTTTCAAGACGGAGAGCTTGACTCGGTAGGCGACTTGAATGTTGGGGCTCAGGTTGGGTTGGGGCATCCGTGGTGCGCCAATTTTCTTACTGGCAGCTTGCCAAGTCCTGCGAGCCACAGCAATTGTTTCTCTGGAAGTCTCGAATGTAACGTTTAAAACAATGTCCCCATCGTCGGATATGAGCACAACGGGGGAGGATGCGCCCGAGGACGGATCCGATGTGTCATCCTGAACTGCTGCCGAGTCTCCCATCGTAAGACAGTACAACTTGAGAGGGGAATCTCTGCCGCGACTCAGGGACTGACATATATGTCGATGCTATACTTGGCCATCGCACGGCTTCGGCAGAATAGTATGTCAGTCAGGCAGCTGTCTTGAGATTGGATGCGTAAGAGTATACAAGAGTGTCATTAATAAGGTGGTAGTATGCGGCAGTGACACTCATGTCATTCGCCTCTCAGAGACACAAAGAAAGGCCCCTTCTGCCTGCTCGATTCCACCGCAGTGGGTCTACCGTGTTTCTTCTACCACAGAGCTAGGCATTTGCACAGTGTGCGCCAGGTGCTGATTAGATAAGATCAGGTGTCCCCAGCCGAATGCCCGTGGTAGCTTTCGGCTGTACGTGCCTTACCCAGGTACTGTTTACATCGAGATAGCGTGGGCAGGCATACCTACTTTGCAGTACACAGCACCTGAGTCCTGAGCTACCTTACGGTGAAGTAAGTAGGCCCGTACTCCGTACCCGAATCCAAGGGTAGCCTGCGGGATTGGCTGCAGCTAAGGCGGGCAGCTGGCACGTTCAGCATGTCTCCGTCCCGTCCTTCCTTTCCAGGTCCGTCTTATTACGTCGCTGGGTCCATCCATGATCCAACCGAGGCCGACAGTGTGCCTTGGCCAAACCCAATCCTCCAATCCCACAGTGTCAAGACCAAGCAGTCAATCGCAGAAACAAACACAAAAGCTGTCAAGCAAACTCTACGGTCCATCTGTCCCTCCCGCCCTTTCGACGCTTTCCCGAGGCCACGCACGATATCCAGTTCTGTGGTAGTCCATTGCCAATGCCAATGCCTCGCCGTCGCCGACGCAACAGCTGACAAGCCTTCCCCTCGTTCGCGCCATCGACCAAAGCTCGCCAACCCAGGATCCCGCTTCAAGCTCCCTAGGCCGCCGTTCAAGCTTGACGAGCTAGCCCATGGCTTTCGCAAGCTTGAAGGTCGTCCTACTTGAGCTGCTGCAGTGTCGGTGACGCTCTCTTCCTCGCCAACAGACTCTCGCCTTTTCGGAACAATGCCAGCTTTAACACGCTGTCTCGCAACGCGACGAATAGCCCCGTACCATGGGACCGCGTGGATACTTTCGTCAACAGCTGTTCGATGCGCATATTCCTCCCTAAATACCAGCATCGGAACTTCCATCGGCAAGCCCACCTCTTCCGCACTCCCTAGGCACCCGCCCCGACGATGCTACACCACTCAAGAGCCAACCCCTCGATGGCTTTCGATTCGGACCCGCACGTCACTCGTTTGCGAACAACAAAGCATACTCAAGACTGACAGACCATCGAGCTCGATAAACCGGCGACTATTCCATAACTACTTCGTCACCCATCTCCCATCATCTTCTCTGCACCCCGACTCCCGAACGTCATCCGGCCCCGGTCACAAGCTGCCCCGCGATGCTTCGACCCCCCACAAAGTAACGCCGGGATCATCTCCAGTAGCCGCGGCCCTCAGCATGCCAAGCCGAGATCTTACAGTGGTCCGGATCCCGCTCAAGAGAGCTAAGCATCACTTTGGCGTTTTCTCTTCGAGGGGTCAGCGGGGGTACAATGAGGATACCAACCAAGCCGGCACAATTAGCATGCCGGCGTTTGCTAAAAGGGCCCCTATCAGTCTTCAGAGGCGGCCGATCCAGAAACCAAACGAGGCGACATCGGCTGACAGCGCACTTGGTGACCCCCAGGTCTTCTACTTTGGTATATTCGACGGACACGGTGGATCTCAGTGCGCTGAGTTCTTACGTGATGAGCTGCATGGCTACATTGAGCAATCCTCTGCCGAGTTTGGCCTTCAGAGTAGCCTGGCAAGGAGCCCGGCACCAGAGACGGGTCGCAAGGAGGAAGACCCTAATGAGGAGCTTTTTATGAAGACAGAAGAAGATGTCAAGGACGATATTCGTGTTCCCGAAGAAGACAAGCATGGCGTTTTGACGAATCCCGAAAGAGAGGAGCCCATGAAAGGGGCCAAACCAGTCTCAGCCAAAGTGGAAGACATTCCGAAGGCTATCAAGCTGGCACAAGACCTTGTGGAAGAGTATCGTCAGACTGTCGGAGGATACTTCCGGCGCTTCAACCCCGAGTACTTCCAACTATCGGAAGAGAAGATGAACGACACCGGTGAGCCCGGGGTGACAGTCGAGTCCGTCCTCATGTACGCCTTCCTCAGAGCAGACTTAGATTTCATCTCCGCTCAGGCACGCAAGCCCGATCCCGACGACCCTCAAGCAAACGATCGCCCCGTCAACAATGACGAGATTCTTGGAGTTCCACACAAACCACCATCAGGCCACGGCATTGGCGGCCCGGCTCGCTTCAAGGGCGGATCGACGGCATCTGTAGCTCTCATTTCGACCCCTACGCCAGCACCATTCTGGCACCCTAATGCGCAGTCTACCCTGATTGTTGCTCACGTGGGTGACACCCGTATACTTCTTTGCACAACGACTACCGGCCTCGCACAGCCCCTGACATCAGATCACCACCCAACCACTCCCACGGAAAGCCGTCGTCTCCGCCGCTATGCGCCGGCCGGGTCCATGGTCTCGGCAGATAGCTTCGGGGAGGACCGGATCGCAGGGTTGGCCAATAGCCGCGCATTCGGCGACATGCGAAGCAAACGTATCGGCGTGTCGGCCGAGCCAGAAATAACCCGCGTCGAGATTGGCCCAGCGCAGTACTCCTTCCTTGTCCTCATGAGTGACGGCATCTCGGGCACACTCAGCGACCAGGAGATTGTCGACGTGATCAAGGAGGCCAGGACGCCCGAAGAGGGGGCCAAAGATGTCGTCAACTATGCCACCGAGGTCTCCCACGACGGCGACAACGCCACCTGTCTAGTCGTCAGACTCGGCGGCTGGGAGCGAAGGTCGGAGGGCGGAGTCGGCAGTCTTGGCACCAAGGAGATACGTGATAAGAGGAGGGCAGAGGCGCTGGATCCCCGGCGCGGCAAGCAGTAATACTTTCAACAACTGCGAGATATTCACCACCGTGCATATCTTTTTCAAAATCATGGAGCATTATTCCCATCGTCATCACATTTTCAGGAGTTGGGGATCTAGGAATGGGCTTTCATCGGTTGGTCTGCCATATGAGCATTGGTAGGAAGGGTTGGTTATTCGAGAGGGGCAAGATAAACCACACATACAAGTTAACAAATACGAACATTAAGCACGGAAAAAAATAATATTGCAATTCATACTTTGTGTGCTGTTAAGCACAGCTCCAGGGAATCATTCTCATCAGCCATACATGGATTGCGTGCCCTGCCCCTTCCGCCCCCATCCATTTCCGTGTTCCCAAAGACTCCATTCCGTAATCCGCGACCCAATCGTTGAATTGTCCACACCTTCCCATTTCCACACTGCACAAAATGATCTAGTAGCGGTGCTGGCCCGGGTACTGGCTCCAGCCGCCGCCACCCTGCTGGTGATGCGGAGGGGGTGGACCTCCATGATGAGGAGGGTACTGAGGCTGCGGCGGTCCACCGTAACCGGGTCCCCCGTACCCAGGTCCGCCGTACCCAGCTGGAGGACCACCGTAGCCCGGTCCGCCATAGCCCTGAGGGGGTTGAGGAGGACCCCACTGGCCCGGAGGCGGCTGATGCTGCTGCTGTTGACCGTAGCCTTGGGGTTCAGACTGGCCGCCACCGTAGTAGCCAGAAGCCTGGCCCTGAGACTGAGAAGCTGAGTAGTGATGACTGGTGTCACCGCCGCTCTGGTGGTATCCGTAGTCTTGCTGAGATGAAGGGAGTGGAGAGCTTGACAAAGGCTTCCTGTCATCACCTTCCATGGAGCTGAGATCTCTAGTACGAATCTGGTTCCACAGGGAGCCCTGCACCTTGCCATGTCCCAGCTCTCCAAAGCTGTCGAAGGCTCCATGAGAGTGTGTGTGACCTCCGACGCTCTTCGTGCCATCACCACCAGCCAAGATATGGTTCTTGCCAGCCTTGACAGACTCGGATGAGAGCAGGCGGGACAGTTCGTGCTTCAGGGTACTCTCATTTGCCCACTTTCGCACCGTCTCGAACATATCTCTCTGGATTTGGACTCTCTCATCGCGAGCTGCTGGGTGGTGGAAAGCCCGGAGGACGTCATTAACAACCTCATCAACAGGCACACCCGGATTCTCCCAGGCATACAGAATTCGCCTGTCTTCACGTTAGCCATATTCAAATTCCCTGACGATAGACGGTGTCTACTTACGGGACGACATATTGCAGAATAGTTGCAGCAACCCTGCCAGCACATGAGTTCAGGATGTTGGTAAAATGGTCCTTTGAGAGCATGGAGTGAGTAGGATCAGAGCAGTTGGGATTCTTCCAGGGCTCCAGCTGAGAGTTCGAGCTTGCGTCGATGACAGTAGATGAACCGTCCTTCAGAACCTTCGAGACCTGTGTGATGATGGGTCTGACAAACGGCGCCAGCAATCCCAAAATGAAGGCAGTCAGCGTCTCACTGATGTGGTCCAAAAGTTTCTCCAGACCCGGGATCTTGGAGATGAGATTGCTGATGGACTTGACAATCTTGTCGCGGAACTGAAGAATCGGATAGATCTTGCGCGCAGTCTCAACAGGATCGAAGTTGGTGCTCATACCGGGCACCTGATTGGAACTCTCGCGGCTAAGGTCACCACGGCTGAGGTCGCCTCCAGATCGAGTGTTCTGCTGCTCCTGTGCACTTGACTGGGCCTGCAGATCACGAGCCTGGCTTGCCAAATCTCCACCGATGCCAGGAAGCTGACCTACGAGGGAGATGAAGTCGCTCGGCTTCGAGGAGCCAATCCCCAGGAAGCCACGAGATCCGGTGCCGCCACCAGTGATATTCGCAGACATACCCTCGGCATTCTTCAGGGCGACATTCATTTCGTCTACCTCGGATTGCGTGAAGTGGTCCGTAGCTTCTCCGAGAACGGAGTGTAAGAAGTCCACAGCACCAAAGGTACCAGTTACGATGGGGTAGACACGGCGACCATTCAGGTTGATTTCAGTTTGAGTACCGCAGTGAGGGTAGACGTCGTGGTAGCCCAGCTCTCGAAGAGCAAGCTCGCAGTAGTTGCTGTGCGCGCTGAAGTCCTCCATGCAATGGAGAGCTTGTCCGAGACAGCGCAGTGCCTCGCAGAGATCGGCTTCTTTTCCTGAACCCCGCGAACCGCTGGTATAGACCCGGCCGAAGTGGATGCTGCGGGCGAAACTGAAGCGCAAGTAGCCAGCGCTGGTCGCCCAGCCGCCAGACTCATTGGCAATGTAGTTCTTCATGCCAGTGCGGGGATCGATCTGTGTCTCGACAGGGTCAACGGGACCACGCAGGCGAGGGTCGAACTTGCGCGCGTCCAAGCCGTCAGCGTAGCCTAGGGGATTATCGATGTGTTCCTCCGGGCGGTAGACGCCAAGGCGCTCCTCGGTGACCTCGAATTCCTCCGTCGCATAGCCAAAGGCCATAAAAGAGAGTACCCAAACCTGTCAGAGAAAGTCAGTACAAAGGATACACATCGATGCCTTGGTCGCGACAATGGCTTACCAGGATTCTGATGGTGGGAGCGTTGACTCCCTTCAAGCTGCCCACGTCGACGGCTTGCGAATAGTCTCGAAGCCAGTTGCCAAAGTAGACTCGGGATACCAACATGGAGGTCCATTTCTTGCCATGCAAAAACGCAATGGTCTTGAGCATGTCCTCGATATCTGTGCGCAAGCATGTCAGTCAGCTGTAGGGGTAAGCACAGCAAAGATAAGGGTGCGCACCTCCATGACGCCAATTGTGACCCTCGACCTAGACGTAGATCGCAATGCATTAGTTTGCGAAACGGTGGAATACTGGACGAGGTGCCCAAGGTGTCAGAACCTACCTGGGCAATAGAGGGGATGTTGCCGGCACCAAAGGCAGCAGCGCGACCTGGCAGAAGCACCAAGAGCAAGCAGAAGGCGAGGAGGATGGAACCTCTCCCGAGACCGGATGACGCCATGGTTCAGGGTCGCGGGAGACTAAAGCTATCCAGGAATCGGTAGAGACTGGTTGTGAAGTTCAGTCGCAAAGATGCGTTGAGTGTTCGGGAGAGCGATGGAGGGGTCGCGCAGAGTGTCCGGGTACAGGAGGTTAACAAACGACCTTTTTTTATTTTGTTTTTGGAGGGGTAAAAGAGCAGGTGAGGTGAGGTAAAGGTGAGCGGGAAGGTTCGAGTCCGGCTAGACGAGGTAAGCTCCAAGTCGTTACCTAAGGTGATGTAAGGCACGCCCACACGAATGAGGGCAAGGCAGGTAGAGCCGAAGATGGTTTTGGGGGTCTGGTCGAATTCACAAGTCCCAGCTGGAATTTTGGTGAGGGCAGCGACAGCGACAGCAGCACTTTGCGTCAAGAACCACCGACGATTTTATGAGTACCTACCTACCTACGTTATTGTCTGGGCGACATCCACTTGAGGTAGCACTCGCAGCGGCAAAGACGTGCCGCGAAAGACTTTGAAGGCTTGGGTTGCCAACCTGGGGCTGAGGGGGGCGGTTTGCTGCTTTGAGCAAGGTAGTCTTAGATAGTGCACAGGGTGTAGGCGAGGCGAAAGCACTATTGTCAAGGACCGGTTGATTGTCCCCGCCACGCATGTCTGAATCACTGCTGACGACACCTCATGCTTCCCTTGCCCTACCAACTTGCCTTTGATCAATACTGTACACTACGTTTGGATGGTTCCGTTGGCGAGAGGGGTGGGGGACAGCTGAGCTTTGTGGAAACAGGAGCTGTACGGAGTAAGGAGTGTAGGCTCATTGGCTTGCGTCACATGTGTGCCATACTGAGCTGCATTGCACCGCGATGGGCAGCACATCTTGTATAATACTACCCATGTAGGCGCAGACGTACAGACGCATCGTGACATCCCAGATCGCGAGACGACAGACGGTTCTGAGTAGACACTATCCCAGAGGTACCTGAATTACCTTCAAATTGGCGAAGCAATAGACGCGTCTTACCGGAAGCTGCCCGGCAACACGCGCTAAGTTGGGCTCAACCTGGAAAGAGCTTGATGAGCATTGTCTGTACCCAACTTAAGATAGGGTCCCCCCCCATTCATTCATTCATTCATTCATTCATCCACCCTTTGTTTTTTGATTTTTTTTTTTTTTTTTACCTTTGATTGATCAAAACAGGCTCGAACATGACAGTCCTGCAGGACGACTGTTCATGGGCAAATCAAGTAAAGCCGTTGATTACCCAAGTTGACACTGAAATACTCAAGTTAGATGTTTTGGGGTAGAGCAGGTCGTCATTTCCTTGTGCATGCGACCATCAGATGCGCAGGAACCTTGAAATACCTTATTTGACTCCTGGCTCCTTTTGCCCCGCTTTCCTGTGCGCTGAGCTCAGCACACCTAGCAGACCGTGACTGTCCCCAAACAATGAGTGCCCCTCGAGTGGGTGACATAATCGTTTGGCGCCCCATAATACCCTAGCTTGATTCCTGCTATTCCTGTTGTTTCTATTATCCCTATAGTGGCCTCTTACCTTCTCTGTATTTCTCAGAAACTAGGTACATTTTGAACAGAATAAGGTAGCAAGCCAATGATAACAATCTTGCGTTGACAGGCAACCTACCTTTCTTGTCACCCATTTGCCCCTCCATCAGATACGCCCAGACCTACCTGGGTACTCCGTAAGTTTCTCCCATTACGCGCAACAGGGTGGGATCCGGCTGGTAGGGCAGACCCGCACAAGAGAGCCCCGCCATTGGCCCAAATCGAAGGATTCCATTCCGATCAAGTAAGGTAGACGGTACCTGGGCCAATGCCATGCGTCCCTGGTAGATTCCAGGCTTGTCCCCAGCATCTCGTTCAGCACGACGAGATGATCAGGCATGTTCGTTTCCTATCGACTATTTTCTTGGTCTTGGGCGCGCCTTAACTGAGTTTGTAACTGACAGCTACATTTGCGTGCGGGGGATTGGTACTGTGATATACTGGTTGGTCAGCTAAGGCAAGACAAGCCAGTGAGATGAACAGGATCTAGATAAATGAGATACACAACCTTTCTGTCTGGACACTTGAGGTGCCCGATGTAAGCCACAGTCTACCTTTCCGTTCAGCTCAGTTCGAAAGGCACTAATTATTTGAAGAAACCAACGCGTGGCTCACGAGCCACAAATTGTAGATAACCTTGGAAGCTGCACCGCCTACCGACCTTACCTACGGATACAGTTGCTGTGAAGTGGCTGGATCATGGTATGGGTTACCTTAGGTAAACCCTTGTGGGCTGAGGTAAGGCAAGGTAAAGGACTAGCATTGAGGCATCCAGGTGAAATGCACGTGTAATCAAACAGAAGGACTCATCGCGGGTACGTACTTGCATGCACCTCCCATCTCTGGCTCATGCATCAATACCTTATGCGCGCGGTGTGAGAAGACGCTTCAACTTGCTTCCACTAACTCAATCTCAGACTCGACCCCAACAATGCTCGCTGTCACAGACCGCCGCCGCCGCCATCGCGCGCCACTCACTGCGATCTTGGTCCTTGGGTCTGGGGTCACGGCCCATGGCTGGAGGTGCTAAGACTGTGGGAGGCCAAAAGCCCATTCCCAATCTTATCTCGAGTGTTCCAAGACTGCCCCTCGATTGTAAGCCAGGAGAAGAAGCCACCTGTTAGGCTGTTACCTTGCCTTGTGTTATCTTGAGGTAGGCTCTTGCTCGGGATTCAAGTAATAGTCAGATAGTTACACCGCTCCTCCAGCGGCCTCACGACTGGGTGCTTTTTTGATGTGATTGGGTATGACTGATCGTTCATTCAGAGAATACATCAACAGATAGGCAGACACGCCAGGTCAGGATGCGGAGAAAATGAAATTATCATTCACTCGGCGTGGATAACAAGACAACCCATCTAACCGTAGATGCCTATCTGCCAAAAAAAAAGAACTTCGTACGGAGTACCTTATTCGAGGGAGCCCTCTGCACAGACCTGGCAGCTGGGTCGATCTGGCTGGGCCGGCAGCCGATTGCATTGTTTCTTAGTGACTACGGATACCTACCTAGTCCTGGATTGCTTGTTGCCTGGGCCCTGAGGTGCTGGGCTCGGTGATTGTCGCGGACTAATCCCACCGGGATTGAGTGACCATGAAAATGTCCATGTAGTCACCACTTCCCGCCTCAAACTGCCATGCAACTTTTCCCTCCCCCCTTCTACCTTTAGGATTTTGCCGAAGTTGCCCAATGCCCATTCCACCCGTTTGAAGTTTCCATGTTCCCCTGCCTGTTGGCTTAGGTGTTCTAACTTCTACCTTGGTTCCTTAGTGTGGCGTTTCTTCTTGTTGCAGTCGTGGCGACGACAATGTATCGCGTGGTGGGCATTATGTGCCCTTTCGTACATGTTCCTAAGTCCCCGTTCCTGGTCTTCCGTCCCAGACCGTCCCAGGCTGTGTTTGGGTTACCAATAGCGGTTCCCACACCTCCCCGTTCAGTCCCGCATCCTGACTCCCTCATCACCCACACCTTTGGCTACTTGGGTCCTGTAGTATACGTAGTACTGTCTGTGTCCATACACAACAGTTTGGCATTGTCAACCCCGTCACTCATTGCCCGTTCTGGATGTGTTCGACTGTTGCTGAGCTGAGGTAAAAGGTGCAATTTCGGGGTCTGTAACTTTGTATCCATCCGCCCGCCCAAAAAGACAGAGAAAAGACAGCCGCACAGTGCAAACCCTGAAGAGCCGGGCGAAAGTGGTCAACAGGTGGAACCACGAATCGGCTGTCCAAGCTTCCGCCAGGTCCCGTTCTGTGCCAAAGTAACGCCACCAGGCCGTATTTTTTTTTCTGGCCTAGAGAAGGGTGAGAAATTGCTAGTCGCGTAGAGAGCTTCTCCTTGGCCCTGCCACCCACGCATGCCTCCACGTTCACCTCACGTCCCCCGATCCCCAAATCAAACATCCCCCCCTAATTAATTCCTCGACCCGTCTCCGTCCTCTCACCACCCTGTGCCCACCGAGCCTCAAGTCACATCGCCCCGGCCTTTCAACTTCGCCCTCCCGGCCCTCCCGGCTTTTGGCTCCTTTTCCCACCTTAGACCGCCTGCTTTTGTCGTCCAACCATACACCGTATCGTATTCCATCTTAATACTTCTTCCCTCCGTGCCACTCCCTCCAACTTTCACCTTTCCCTCTCTTTCGCTAGGGCTTGCGACTGCGACTTCTGCTGTGATTCTTTCTACCCGTCCACTCCCTTTGTTGTCCTTCGACTCCTATTTCGTCCACTTTTGGACCTGGGCACCAGAAACCCTCAGCGACAACAGCAGTACTTCCGATACATCCTTCTTTGCCGTTTCCGTATCGCCGCGAATCAATCGTCAAGCAACCACCAATATGCCGGCGCGAACTCTCCCCACCTTCACTCGCGCCGAGGTCGAGGCTCACAACTCCAAGAAGTCTTGCTATGTCACCATCGGATCCAACGTATACGATGTGACCGACTTCGCCCAAGATCATCCCGGTGGAGCCGATCTCGTCTACGATTACGCTGGCAAGGACATCGACGCCATTCTACGCGACCCGACCTCTCACCCTCACTCCGAGGCCGCATATGAGGTTCTGGATGACTCCCTGGTTGGCTTTGTCATTAATCAGAAGGCCGTCGGCGGGCTTCGCAAGGTCAATGGCGCAGCAAATGGCAAAACGAATGGGCATGCGAATGGAAACGGAAAGGCGAACGGCAACGCCAACGGCACCACCGAGAAGACTGACGAAGCCGAGGGCGTCCAAATGAACGAGCACGGCGAGCTTTGGGACGGTGAACGTTGGGTCCATCCCCGAACTGGAATGGCTAGCGAGGAGGATCTAAGCAAGGAGACGGATTACACAAGCGATTATAAGAAGCACAAGTTCCTCGACTTGAGCCGCCCTCTGTTTCCTCAGATCTGGTTTGGCGGCTTCAGCAAGGAATTCTACCTCGATCAGGTCCACCGCCCTCGCCACTACAAGGGCGGTGAGTCTGC